CAAATCTACGTCGAAGAGAAATTCGGCCCTGTGACAAAAACTGGAGAGGAAGAGAAAAAGCGTCAGCTAGCCGACAAACGTGTGGCCATCAACTACACCTACACAGACTCGTCATTGCCGACACCGTCGACGAAATCCGAAGAGAAGCCTGCCGAAGAGGAAGACGACGACAGCGACATGGACCTCGACGTCTGCGTCGACGTCACGCAGCTAAACCGGGACCAGTGCACGGAAATGAACGAGGCAGCGAAAAAATATCGGGTTCCCGGCGATAATTACGTGAATTATTTGTACGAGGATCATCTGGAGCAAGAGGCGTTACGAAAGGCGAAGCAGGAAGAAGAAGAAAAGCAGGCGATTTCAGGGAAAAAGGGCAGACGGGAACGAAGGCAGTTTCGAGAGCGGAAAATGATTTCCATTCACAGGAAACTCAGTCCACCGAGGTCAGTTTTGAATTGTGAATGTCATCATGTGAGATGTTTTGCAATTGTATCGTTCAAATCTTCTTTCAAAGATTAATGCGACCAATTCTCAAACGAGTGAGAAGCAAAATTTACTCAATCAAATTTTATGTGAACTTTTAGAATATTTTTCGTGATCAATGAGAAGCCCATCATAAGATTTCTGTTTTTGAAATATTTTTGCTGAGTTTGGCATCCATCGGGATGGGAAGATATTCTGAACTTGTTCAGATTTGAGGCAATTCTATTCTATCAAAATATTCTATGCTCCATTCTATGAAAAGAATTTTCAATTCATCCAATATTTTCTTGCTGTTTAATTTTTAAAGCAAAAAAGGCAATATTTCACTAAAACGACGCTGTGATTCCTGAATCTCTTAAAAATTGCGAATTTACGCATTTATCGCCAAATTTCGATGGATTCTCTCTGTTGCGGCTGATCGTCGTCACGATTTTTGCTAGAATTTTCATTTTCTGCGGTGGAAAAAAAATTTAATTAGTCCTGATCATTGAAAATATTTTGGTCCTTCGGTCAGCTTTTAACGATAGCTAAAACCTTGAAAATTTAAGAATCTGTGTGCCTTGCACATGTAAAATATATTGTTTTCCTTTCAAGTGATGAAAAGTTGATGGCGATTCTATGAATACATAGCGAGTAAAAGCTAACTTTCTTCTTCCAGTTATGCCGCAAAAAACATTCCCTCAGCCAGCGACCCGTTTAAAAAATCCCGCGTGCTGAGTCGTTCGAAGTCCAGGTCCCCAACTCGTTCTCCATCTCCAAAGATGACCAAAGTAACCTACATTACGTCCTTCGGTGGCGACTCCGACGAAGAAGACGCCGGCGCCGCTGGTGAAAAGGACTCCGGTCCGCGCGGCATTTTCATTCCGATCACGGCTCGCCGCCACGACGACACCGACGGCAAGAAATCCGCCTCGCACGGGGCACCAAGCATCTCTAAAGGATTAACTTTAGGCGCCGCGGCGTACGAAGCGGCGGCGAAGAAGGAGCGGGAGTCGCGAAGGAGACGGAGTCGGAGGAGCTCAAGCGAAGATAGCCGGGGAAGAAGAAAAAGAAGAAACAGCGTTAGATCGGATTCTTCGGGGTCGAGGAGAAGGAGGCGAAGGCGGCGCTCGAATAGTCGGAGCA